AAACCAAACGTGTCAAGTACTAGAGCAAAGATTAGGTTAAGTAGAGCAGGATTTCTGTCTTCAAACGACTTCAGAAACTAAATGAGATGACCTTAACATGGAGGGTTAAGAAAAAAAGAGTGGTGGCCAAATAAAAAAAAATTAGGGATATTAAGTGTAGGTGACATACATGGAACGAAAAGGCTTAAAGTATCAACAAAGTTTTGTTAGATGCCAGATCAAGGTAACTTGAATGACATACAAAATTTTTGTAGTATTTTTTTTTAGATTTTTATAGTTTTCTTTTCCCCTAGGGAGTATTTGTAATACACTTAAGAATTTTAGAAGTTAAGTGGGTAATCAGTTTATTTTAAAAAAAAGATCTCGCAGAGATTAGAAAGGCACAGACTTTGCTTATTTCTCAAGACGGTTGCTTACTTACTGTTGCTTTGAAGACTCAACATGATGTTTTTCATGACACACCCTTGCCATTCCTTACTAGGAAGAATGGAATAACTGATTGTTCATTCTTAATAGGTGCTATTTTAATAACACATATCATAATAAACTATTTTTTCTCTTGACCAGCCTCTGAGTTTTAGAATGTATTTTTTATTCTTTTTAACATATGTTAAAGCTTACTAAAATTAAATATAAATTTAATAAGAACTTATGGAGGACCCATTGTTTTTCAAACTTCAACAAATAAAGTACAAAATGTGCTCCATAAATCTTATTTATCTGCATTTTAATTGATACTTGCATTATGGTATTCAAATTTTTTTCACAGCTGCATTAGAGGGTTAAATTAATTTACACCAGAAACATAAGTGCTCAGTACCAAAAATTTGAAAGGCCATTATTTATTATCTTATGTAGTTAACAAACATTTATGGGACTTGTACCAGATCATTATTAAAATTTCATTTTAAAAAACAGTTCAATGATGATGATAATAATATCTATCCAACTTAAGTAGAAAGAAGAAAAAAGCAGTATTTAAAATTTCTGATCAAGCTTTTGATGGATGATTCGATAAAAAATGGAACGGAAGATGAAAGTTAGGGGAGTTTATATTTCCCAGGAACATTTAATTCTATTGAAGATGATTTAGTTTTGGATGATTTTAAGATTGCATCACAATGACTCGAGAGGCAGTTTGTGTTAAGGGTGGTGCACATAGAGAACATGTGTTTTAATAGTTGCCATGTGACGTTGGAAAAGCCAGAATCTTCTGCAAAATGGGGTTATTTGGGAAGCCAAGTCACTCCTTAGGTACATTTTAGGTATTAGAAAAACCATGAAAGATTAGTCAAAAGAATAGACAAAAGAAAGAGCCAGTGAAAAATTGATAAAGATCATGGAGGGGTGAAAACTTGCTTTTCTCCTACAGAATCTTTAAAGTTAGAATATCATTAACTATATTTCTCCAAGAAGCAATATTATTTGTTTTAAAATACAGTAAGGGAATATGACATTTTCAGGAGTATACAATGTAAAATATAGTCCAGTCTGAAAAAGACAAGAAAATGTGGAAAATTCTGATTGAGATCAAAGAGGAGGAAATGAAATGTGAAGGAAATAAGTGAAGACTGACTGGTTTAGTTCTGTCTCCCAGATCCATTTTGAGGTGTCTCTCCTCCCCTCGAAATCTTTCTTCTAAATTCAAGACCCTTGCTAAGGGGCAACTCACGGGTCCTATTTTCACTAGCCTTGTTCCTAAAAGATTTGAATCTTGTAGAAGCTAGTTGTCAATGACTGATATTTGCTGTCTTTTGAATTTGACAGGACTAAGACATTTATCTAAGAGTAGTCTGGAGGGTACACACTTAGTGATGCTCAGTTGATTTATCACAGACATGCTTAGGTGCTTATACTGTGATGGACAGAATTCAGTCATGTTCTTTCTTGGAAATCTGTAAAACATAGTAATTACTCTTTGGATGTGGACTCTGTGTTTAACAGTGTATTTTATTAATTGTATAGTATCTATCTGACCTATGTTTGAAGCCCTATATGATAAAATATTTGTGATGATTCAGTGAAGTACAAGTGTAGATATTATTATTATTATTATTATTATTATAGTTTTAAAGATCAAGACTTAAAGGTCCTAAGAGTTAAATGCTTTTGCAAAATTGATACTCCTGGTGAGGGCAGAGCCAGGATTCACTCTAACATATTGAGTGCACACACATATGTGGGGCTTGAGCAAATGATGGAAGTGGTGAACTCAAACCTTTGCGTACAGAGTAATCTGACCTAGATGCTGAATTGGGAGACTTTTAGATGTGGTCTGAATAATTCACTCTCTGAAGTTAACCACAATAACAGTTCATTTTTGGTTTCTTTGCCAACTGTGACTCCCTGGTTACTTCCTTTTCCAGCAGTTGGAATTAAGTGACTGATATTGGGTGACATAAGTGTTAAGAGCAGATTATAATGTTAGAATTCACAGTCTAACATCAAAAAGTAAATGTTTTCTTGCTTACTCTTTGAGGAGGCCTTCTTTTCTATTTAGAGGCGCGAGCATATGTGATTTTAATTCATCAGAGGCCTTAGATCTTGGGGTCCGAGGGAAAAAATCTACCTCTGTGTAGCGGTTAAAATCAGATCACTTTAGAAAGTGGGGTTCTTATTAAAAACAAATCTCTGATTCAAATGTAAGGTTTTCTTGAACTTTCAATTGCTTGTGGTATGTTACTAATTTTTTAATTAAATAATTTTGTTATGTTAGAAATAGGAGGAAAAAGGAGAAATCAGCATAAAAAAGTATTTTTTTTCCCCTAAATTGAACACCATTGTTTAAACTGAATCCTTCCTTGGGAATAGAAGTCTTCATTCTTTACTCTACAGGACCCAAATTTTAGCAAGTAGATGTCAGGAAAGTATTCTGTGCCATTCTTAAGCTAATTCAGTTAAATACTCATGGAGAGTTTACAAGTTTGACAGCCCTGACAATCTCAGCCTGGCTCATATTGTATCATCTTAAAGGCAGCATTAGTCAACTGGATGGGTACCTGTCTAGACCATCATAAATGTGATGTGGCTTTTGAAGGAGAACTGAAGTATGGGAAGGCCTTGGTTAGTGGGTATGTTAATATGCATTAGTAGGAACTCTTCAAAATGTTAGTTACTTGAAAAGTTAAACTGGGATATAGCATCAATACTTGGGTATTTCCCAGGGGAACACTAGGCCGATAAAGCTAAGACTGTAGCAAAATAACATAATTTATCATTTTTATGTAACTATCATACGCTATGCCTGGAAAATGGCCAATATTGTACCATCTTTTACAGGAATGGAGAAACAGAAGATTGATCTCCTAAGTTATAAGTCACTGACTCTTGACTCAATTCCAGAAAAAGTATTAGAATTTATAGGAGATGATAAGACAAGCTTTTTAGAGAATACCCAGTTCTCTGAATCTGTCTAACAGGAGACTCTGGTCAGAATTCACACTGCAAGGAGTAACTCTCACCTGCAACTCTACTTCTGTTTTGAAAAATCAGAGCAATTGGTGGACAAAGTGAAAAGCATTAACCATATTTATTAACATTTCATGTTGTGAGACAAAAAGAAATAATGTTAAGGAAGTGGGATAAAAGCAAAATTCTGATCTAAGCATTAAATCTTATTAGCAGGCATGAGGCAAAGGGCAGACATAAATGATTGTGTTTTATTACAGAGCTAATCTAACAATATTTCCTTACATTTAATAGTAGAAACAGCAATTGCAAATGTGCTAATCATGTCTTGGAGGAACAGAATAACCCTGCTTTAAGAAAAGCATACATTTTATTATTTGTTTATTTTATTTTATTTTATTTTTGCTGAATTAAGACTGGATCCTTCTCTTGGCTTAGGTACAATGCAAAGTTTCAGAGCAGAGACTTGTCTGTAGCCACCTAACAAATTTTGTTGAATTTCACTCCCAAGTTCAAAATTGCCTTTTGTAGGCAAGCAAAGAGGCTAAGGAATCTGAGCCATCCATTGCTCCAGCATTTCCTGAAATCTTTGTGCATTCATAGCCAGGAACGGCAGGCACACTGAGGAAGACACAAAAGGAGTAGACAGGATCTCTGCCTCTATTTAGGAGCATGCAATTTAGTGGGGGAGACAAAAGTTAAATACTAAAACCAATAAAGGAAGATTACAAAGCAACCTGAAAGTAAGTGTATAATAATATGGGGCAAATGACAAAGCTAAATGCAGAGGGGACATGGAGGAAAGAAGTGAGTAAAACAGAGCAGAGCAGGGTTAGTTAGGAAAGGCATGTTGCCTAACAGCAGAATCGCCTGCCATGTTTCTGTCTGTGGCATTGATGAGGAATAATGTGGGATCGGAAATTCACAGACTGCATTGATCTCGTCCTCCTTATCTGCAGAGTCTGTCCGTCTATCACAGATGGAAATTAAATTGATCCAACAATTTTCTCTCCACAAAGCCATGCTGATTTCTACCTAGTAATTTATGCTTCTCTTGGTGTTTGCAAATCGATTGCTATTATGGGATGCAGACAAATCTGGGCCCGGATCCAGTAAATTGGGGGATTATTGGAGTGAGTGTGTGCCTGCACATGAAATTCTGGAAAGGCGGACTCTATTTCTGTGTGTTTTACTCATTGAATAAAAGAGTTCTTAGGTTTTATTTTTTAGGTATGTTTAATTACACTCAGATTGCATTTTTAGGGACTGTATCTATTACATTCCATGTTGCTACTGACAACCCAACCTTTAAAACACCTTTAGTGGATTTGTAGTCAGACCTTTTGTTTCCAAAAAGCCTTCCTCACCTAGGAATATTATATATCTATACATTACCCTTTTGTGACATAGAAATCTGTATAGACATTCATCTAGCTTGGTAATATGTTACTATTGAAATGCTTGGGAAAGTATACTTTAAACACTCAACTCCATTGTTGTACCTTTAAAATTTTTTTTTAAGTTCTTTTGAGGATTGTGAAATTCTTTCAAAACAAATTAAAAAGAAAACATTTTCTGTGATTTCTTTACAGATTCTGGACAATCAGGAAGTCCAAGCCACAATGATCCTGCCAAGAATCCTCCAGGTAAATATATGTGTTCCAGGACATTTGCAATCTGACATTGTTGGAGAACAAAGGTACCACTGTATAGATAAACACCCTATAATTGGTCAGCTGCCTATTTTGTTCTGGCAGGCAGGTATGATCAGGACAAGATGTGACTCTGTTTCAGCCCTTCACAGTGGCAAATACTTCTATATTGGCGTCATCAGTATTTACCTAATCACTAATGTCTTTCGTTGGTGTTTCTTTGAAAATAAATGCACACATTTCATTATGCATTTTTTAGGTGATAAAAGTTACTCTTATTTGAAAAGCCAAGAATCAAAGAAAAACCAATCAAAACAAAAATCCACCCCTTCCTTTTAATTTCTCTTTTAAAATTCACAAGAAAAAGTAGAACTGTCCATATTTTTAGAGATGAGTTTTTATTTTGTACAGTTTGTGTTGGATTCTCAGAGTCAGGAAATAATGAGAGTAGTACTTTTCCTTTACTTTAATGTATGCCAGACATCAGTATCTCTTTATTTTCAGAGTTTGTTTTGAAATTGGCTGTTATATTGTAGGTCTCTTCTTGGTTGGGGTACTTCAAAATTTGCATGTGTAAAGATAGAGGAGTAGTGTGTATTGATATTTTTTCCCATGACATAAACTATACAAGTGTTTCATGATTCTAAGACTTTCAGTTCTATAATTTTTGTCAAACAAACATATAAACTTTTCCAAACTCTCCACCTTGACTTATTCAAATTATCTTTTCATTGAAAATAAACCAAAAAATGAATTAAAAGTAATGTTTCCTCAGTACAGAGTTTTAGATACTTAAGTGTTTGATCTTCCTCAATTATAATACTTTGCCAATACAAGATTAAAATAATTGAATACTTACAAATGAGAAAAAATTGATTAGAAAAATATTTCCAAATCAGAAGAAAGTGATATTAGAAAGATACTGCCTGAGATATGCAAAAAATGCAAAGTTACATATGAAACAAAAAGTGCAAAAATGCAAAACAAAACAAATGTTTATGTTTAATGAGTCTTGCCCGCATTTTGCTTTTAGTTTTATCATAGAAAAATTATCTTTCATGATCTACATGGTAATCTATTCAGCATTGTCCAGGTCTATCTTGTTTGACTAAACTAAACTAAACTATGCACTTTAAGGATAACATTTTATTTTTACATATGATACAGCATATCATTTAAAATAAATGCTAAATTCTTTACTAGTGACACAAATTGATAACAAATAATTCTTCAAAAGTAACAGTTTTAAATCTATTAATCTCTATGTGGCTTGGAGATCAGAATCATATCAACTATCTTCCCAGATAGATAAAGTACTTATAACAAAATAATTTTAACAGAAATTTTATCTTTAAGTTTATCAATTTTCTCCTTTTTAATTTCCTAAAATTTTTTCTTGAAGCATGATAGTCAAAGGTGAACTGTACCATTGTTTTACAGATTTCTCAGTTATTTTACAAAGAGTGGGAGAGCGGACCTTTAGTATAAAAGGGATTGACAAATATTGTAAGTCAGACTTAACAAAGGATGTGTTCTTTGCATTCATCTGGCAGTCTGATTTGAAATTAATAACGCTGTTATTGTTTGAATTGCATATTTTAATGTTTATAGCAAGAATTGTGCTCACTTAGTTCTCTACTTGAACTGAATGAATAATCATTGAATAGTTTTATTACACTAGAATTTAAGTTTTCATTACCTGTCCAGAACTCTGTTTCTATAAATTGTCTGGTGGTATAATTCATCAAACAAAAATAAGCAAAGTAAAGGACTTCTAATTTTTTTATTTTAAATTTTCCTGAGAAATCAAGCTTTTTTTGAGAACTATGTATCAGTGATGTTGTAGACAAATGTGTATTATTTGTGATTAGTTGAATATTGCATATATATAAATTGTACTTAATGATCAGTTTTTCAGTTAAATGTAAGTAAAATATATGTACAAAATTAAATGGAATATAATTAGAATTTTCTTTAGTTAATTAGAAGTGCTTCATCACTTTAACATGCTTTATATACCATTCTATTACGAACTTAACCCCAGAGATTAAGAATTCTGTTTGATAAAAGTAAGAGCTTGTTCTGTAATACCTTCATGCCATTGAGAATATGAGTTTCCTTATTTGAAAGATAAAAAAAATTAAAAGTTTAAGCGTTTTTATTTTGCAGTCAATTAGGATAAATTATACTTATTACTAAAGCTATTTCCATAAGTATAAGCATTTTTGGTATTTTGGAGCATAATTTATCTTTAGAAGTCTTTTTTCATTGTGCTTTCTTGCCTTGGCCAAAATGTGAAATATCCAAGTTGAGATTTAATACCTCAAAGCCACACAATCCATTTATGGGAGACTTTATTCTGCTACCATAAGCAATAAAACAATCAAGTAATTTTGCTGCTTACATTGTTATAACTAGGAGAAGCTAAACTTCTGAATATTATGATTGCCAACACTTTCTTATCATGGGTAATTTTCCTTTGGGAGATGTGAAACCCAGGGAAATTGCTACCCATCTACCCCTCTGTTTATTCTCAACAGCTTGGGAAGAGATGGCAAAAATTCAAGTCCTTTTAGAAATAAAAGCTCATTGAAATCTGTTCCCCATTGTTGACATGAAGGTAGAATGCCATCCAATCATCTTTAAGTCCATATGCTTGTGTCTCCTCACAAGCTGAACACCCCCTTTTGGCTTCTCTCCAGCATAAGGCCTGATGTCTGAGACAGAGATATTCCTTGATGATTCAAAAATACCAAAGGGTGACCTGAGAGTCTTACAAGTCAGATTGGAATCTTTGGATAGCTCTTTATTCTTTAAATAATTTTTTTGTTTTTTAAATAAATATTTTAAAAAATATTCTTTAATTAGTTGACGTACTCTGATGTGTAGTATTGTTAATGACGGTTTCATGTGTACATTAATTCCAACACCGCACCCATCACCGATGTACCCACATCTCTTCTCCAAGGTCCTCAAGCCCCTCCCTTTCACCCCCCCCCCCACACACACACACAAACACATTCAGTTCTGTGGATCAATTCTCCCATTGTGTTGCCTTTGCCTCTTTGTTGCTACCTTACTCCTTAGTTTTTAATCCTTGTTTCATGACTGGGATTAGTTTTTAGCAAACTAAGCACAAGCTAATAAAAGCAACACATTTTAGTTAGGAGAGGTACTTAATTCTTGTTCTTTAAAAGAGGTCATCTTTTTGGTTCTTTAAAAAAGGTATCTTTTCTCAGTTTTAAAGACATTTAGATAAAATTTAGGGTGTTCTCTTATACTTTTTGTAATTTCATGTTTTGGTTTTATCCTTTGTTACACGTCAGAGATGATCACCATTGTCTTTTCAGGGACAGTGTGCTTGAAAGACTAATGGAGCCAAAGGACTTGACATTGTTATTTTAGCAAAATATTAGAAAGGCTACATCTTTTGTATGGTGGCATTTCTCTCGTTTCTGAGAGAGTTGAAATTTATATTAGAAGTTACATGTTTTATAGTTTCTTATCTTTTAAACATCAAGTTTATCCCTTGTAAATAATTAAACTGCAAGTTTTCCCTCAACTACAGCAATGACTGTTATAAAAGCAAACAAGAGCAAATAATTAAATTAGTATCTTGGCTCTAATTTTCTTTCACGGATTAAAAAGTTTACTACTGCTTTTAGAAGACATATGATCAAATTTTAATGTTTTAAAAATTATCAGATTTAACTCTATTTACTATTGTGTTTCTACATATAGTAGACTCTTAAAAAATTCCTGGTAATAATCACTCACCTAATGCTGAATGGTTAATTTAAGGAAACAAGATCAGCTAGATGTTGGATTTTGTCTCTGTGCCAGTCTGAAGCTGATGTGAATTTGGGAGTGAAGCACTGTATTTTTCTGGGGAACTCTCTCTTTCCTGGAAGTAGAACAAAGAAACATTGAATCCTAGCATAGATTTTCAGATGTTATGATGAAACCTTATGAAACATTTCAAGTACTATTAACCAGACAGAGCCTTCTTGCATAGAATGATATGGATTTGTCATCGTATTTAAAGAAAAATCTGGAAGTTTTATAGGATGCTTGTCCTATTTTGTACGTTGGCTTTTGCATAGCTTGGCAAAGCCTCTTAGAGTCACTGGGTTTGTCTATAGAATATAAATACGATTACCATATATCCTCTTTTGAATAAAGATAGAGCTAAATATACAGTTGAAAGAATGAAGTCAGGAATATCTAGTAACTATAAGCAGTATACTCATGCAGTGAAGACATGATTAGAGGGGAGGGGTTGGGCTGCAGTCAGGGGCTATTTGTGGCTCTGTACTCAGGAAGGATCCCTGGCAGTACTATTTGTGGTCCAGGGGACTGAGCCAGGGTCAACTGCATGCACAAATGCCTTACCTCTAGCGCCCAAGAAAAATTTTAAATCATGAAAGTTGTGTGGTTGCTCTCTTCTGCAGTCTCTGATAGAGATATAAAATTGAGACAGAAAGGGTTGTCATGAAACTAAAAATGAACCAAATAAATAATTATCAAGAAAACTAGTTCAGTATCTTCAATTTTGTGTTTTTTTTGTTGGGGTAATTACATTTGCTTAACTTTCAACTCACTTTTTAACAACTTAGAATTTGGGAAAAATTAATGTACTCTAATAGAGACAAGAATATTTAAAACATCTTCCTTTACTACTTGTAAATGAAGATTTGCAACAATTTTGAGGAATCTCAAAGAGCTTATTTTTCTTATGGTGTTCAAACTCAAAGAAAATTTTTATGCGTTTTCTTCCATCATTCTTTAGAAAGTTTATACCCACACTCCTTCTCATATCCTCATTTATTATATCTGCCAAAATCAAGAACATTTTAGTGAGGAAAATGTGCTATTTTGTTATACTTAAAAGTAATTTTAAATTTTGGCACCAAATAATATGCAGGAGACCTTCTATTCATAAAAGTATAAATAGAAAGACAGCAAAAGGATTGGTTAACTATGGTGAGATCTGA